CAGTGGCGCACGTAACAATCCGTTTGGCCAAGAATCAGTTGTTGTGTTATAAGAAAAAACATAATTTCGTTAGAGCTTTCTCTCTCTTTCTCTATTTCTCTCTCTTTCTCCATTCCACTTTCTCTGTTTCTCTCTCTTTGTCTTTGTCTATTTACCTCACTTTCTCTCTCTTTCTCTATTTCTCTCTATTTCTCTATTTCTCTCTATTTCTCTGTCTTTATCTTTCATTATTTCACCTTCCATCTCTTTCTCTATATCTCTCTCTTTCCCTTTCTCTATTTCTCTCTCTTTCTCTGTTTGAGCGCCGAGAGCGATACGAATTCTCAACGTTATAAGTGTAATATACAATTGGATGATATAAAATCAATAATACAGTATCCTAATTGTAATCGATATTATCATGATGAATGCGTAAATGTCGATTTAAGATATTTTCACATGAAAAAAAAGCAGGTTGGCAATGGGCATGGCGCTTTAGGAGGTTAGGAGTAAAACTGTGTTACTGATCAAAATTATATCGAGGTCATAAAAAATACTTTGGATTTGCTACTCGAAAACACTTCGGAATTAAATGGGAGGATCGATTACTTAATTCAGGAAAATTTAAGTTTGAACCAAGAACTACAAAAAACTAAAGAGTTTCAATGGCTTCAATGTTATTTATCTCTTTCATACGCGTTTCACCCGTCCCATCTTGTTTTCTTCGTCATTTACACGAATATAAATATTTGTTATCCATTCATCGCAGCGTTTTATCGCCAGTAGAAAATAATTAAATTCGCTGACACAACAGTCGATTCAGTTTTTATCGCGTCAGCCGTTATTTTCTGTGCTCCGATTCTCGAACCACCGTCGCCTCTGAGGTAATGAATAGCAATTTCCGTTTGTCGCGCTCGTCTTGGGCCGGTGGATATTTTTAAAAATGGCGGCGTCTGTGTGTCTGAGATACTTGCTTTGCCAAACTCATCATTTCCCCAAAATCTTGGCGTCCTATGTGTGTTTGCAGTTTGTAATGTATGCAGTGTTTTTCTTTAATGGATATTAAAATTGTGAAATCCAGTGCGGTGCCGGAAAATATCCCGACCAATAATATGGTCAAAAACACTGATTTTTTAAAATTTTTGTTATCTACATTGAACGAGCCACTAAAAACACATCTTTTTTGACTTTCGAGTTGTTTTCATTTTTCGTCGCCTAAATTTAAAAATTTTCTAGAATAAATTACATAAAAACGCGTTTCTAGTAACCTCACTTCTCATCTTGTCTTCAATGATCTTAGAAAAGCCTACGAGGACAAATAAACAAATGAATAAAGAACCTAATTAAAGGATATATTAGAGGTCTACACAAGATGTACAGGAACCTAAAGAGTGTCTTTAAGACCCAAAACACCTTGTCAGAACTATTTCCAGTGACAAAGGCTCTTAAACAGGGATCTCGCCTGCCTCCTACCTTGTTTAAAATTTTTATACAAGAAATACTACAAAAATGGAGACAAAAATGCTCAATTAAGGTTGGCGACCACTACTTGTCAGCATTATTCTTTGTTTATGATCAGGTACTAATTACAAATGGTGAAGAGGATATAGATTATTTGGTAAGGAAACTACGAGATGAAAATAATCTACCCGGAATGAAAATTAACACGGCCAAAGAAAACTTGTGGTTAAAACAGGTTAGTCAATGCGAATAGTATAAATACCTCGGCAGTATTTTATCTAATAAAGGCTCATCTGTAAAAGGGAATGTACGAGTTTTGAATCCTTTACGTAAATCAAATCAAATATCTATAAAAACAAAATTAACAGTATACACAGCGATCGTAGAACCAATAATGGCATGCGGATCAGGATGTTGGCAGCTCAATGAATCGACGAGGTGGGAAATAGATAGATACCGTAGAAATTTATTTTCTCAGAAGATCACGCATATCTAGGTTAGAACACATACCAAATGACGAAATTAGACTCCGTACAAATCGAATACACAGAACAACTGAACTAAATGAAACAAAACAAAAATCGTCGGTGGGCGGGGCATGTTCGTCGCAAATAACGCGAATCAGCTTTTTATTTTAAAAAGAAGGGACTTCGCGGATTCTTGTCCTAGAGGGACGTATTGTTTTTCTATCGTGCTCGTGTAATGTACATGGTTTTCGAGAAAATAAGTTATTTGTGAAACCATGCAGTGCGTTGTAATAATCAATGACATCATCGCGTCTTGACAGCCTTCGAAATAACGATTGCGGCAAATAATTTACTCTGTAAAAGGACAATTTTCTTTTAGATTTTTGCCTATAATTTGAAAACTCTGCATATAATCGAAAAAATGCCCGAAATAAATGTTATTGCACTGGATCTTCTTCGTCTGCCGGTTAAAGAATTTTGCAATCGGATGAACGATTATGGAGGAAAACATATTTTTCTGGAAGATAAAATTACCAAAAAAAAATTAATTCAAATATTTTTTAAAAATACTTGGTAAAATTTGATTAGGCCCAATTTCTACCCTTTAAATGTGGACATGGTCTTTTACTTCTCTGCTAAATTTGAAGTTGATATCTGCAACTTTGAGACACTTAACACATTTCTCATTTAGCACGGAATATCGGGAACATCCTGTACAATAGGGGAAAACCTTGAATACAAAACTTTGTGCTGTTTATGCGGGCTATATCGCAATATAAAAGAAAGTGAGATCTGAAACAGTCTTTCAGTTATAACAACCCATTTTTCAGTTTTTTTGAATTTGCGGCGCACCTTGTATATTTTTGAAAAATTCTCAAGAATAAAAGTTTATAGAGCTGTATCTTGTGCTTCTTCTGGTTCAAGAATTTGTTTGATCTCTGAAACAGTTTTTGAGAAATGATGTTTTTTGTAGACCATTGAAAACGCGATTTTTTATTTTTTTAGAGTACTTCCCGAGCCCCGGGCCCCCCCATTTCCAATAGGCTCCGTCACAGGACAATGCTGCATATATGTGCCAAATATGAAGTCGATTGCTTCAAATTTCGGACATTTATCGTGTTTTATAGCAAGGTCCAAAAAACAGTCAAAAATCGCGAAAAAAGATGGATACCGGCATCGGATCTGGGCCATTTCTTATAAGCTTATGTGCCTCATGGAGAACGGAGAGCACTGTGTCCTGTGCAATCTTTTAATATGCCCTAGAAGTCTAACCCTATGTCGCCTCGCTCGCTATCAGAACCCGCCACTCCGAGTTTCTATTTCTACTTTATTATTATATTATTTCGATTATTTTCTTTCGATTTCCAACATATATGATAAGCGTGTTATACATCTTTCACAAAAGAAGATATTGCCTTTGCTTTACTACGACATAATAACCCCAGATATAACAAAAGTTATTTAGATTGTTCACACAATCTCCTTTTGCCATATTTGTATGGTCAAAAAAGGACCAATATAACCAAGCTGCGCATAAGCTAGGTTACAACGCTGTATTGGCGCTTCTGCATCAATTCTGTTGCTTTGCAGGAATCTAACATTTTCCAGTGTTGCCAAATCACATTTAAAAATTATGCCTAACATGGAACAAACATATTCACGTCATAGGTATAAACGTTAATAAAATAGTATTTTTTAGATATAGAGCGCTATAAAAAAATGGCGTGATAGAGCAAAATCACTCTACACCTTTGTTATTTAGTCGGATTCATGAAAATTAGAGTTTCATGGGATGTTTTAGTTTCCAATTTCGGTGAAAAACGAAATTTCACAGTTGTGACAATATATCTTTTTGGAAAACATCATTTTCTACAATTGCTGATAATTGAAGCATGCCTTTATTTTTTATGTTTTCTGGGATTATTACTTCCTTTATATTAAAATCGACAGCTTTAAAAAAGGAAATATAAGAAATTTTTTGTAACGTTTTCAGTTGTGGTGATTTATTTGACTTTATATTGGCAAATTCTTGAAATTTTAAAAATTCGCTTGTTTTTTTAAGGCTTTACTGAAAATACGTAACCGCTCTCTTGTAAACTCTTGATTGCAAAATACTTCTCTAAATATAGTTAGAAAATGTTTCGACAATTTTTTTTAGTTTAAATTTACATTTAAAAATAAATTTAATAAATAATAAATAAATTAATAAATTTCCCTAGAACTGACGTAGTTTTCCACGACTCCCTAGAAACATCAAAATTTCCCTTACTTGCTTAAAAAACTACCGATATTTAGGATTTTTCCGATTTCAGATTGATCAGTTTCAACAATTTTGCGCCAAAAAGGCGTCCACCCTGAGTATTCCCACTAATACATCCGGATCATCGTCAATATTAAGGATTACGTTTGCGTGTTTACATATTCTGCGACCGCGGAAGATTAAATTGGAACAAAAATCGTTGTTTATGCAATTTTATTGGAACGCGGCTGCAAACGAGTCGAATTGCGCTCGCGATAGCGTGAACATTCTAGACGTGACATTTTTAACCGCATCTGCGTGATTTAAAGTTATTGTCAAGTTTATAGGCCGGCTCGTAAAAGCGTGACTAATAAATGTTGATAATAATTCATACCTAAACCTAACAAAACTCCTGGACCAAATTAACGCTGAATCGATGATCCGGTTTGAATGATTTTTTTTTGCATTTTAGGTTGATTCCTTGACGTTGTCATAGTTTTCGCTAATAATAATAATATTAGTAATAATTGCACTGAACAACGGCTACAATCCGTCCAACAAATCCAGACAACAGTAAACTCTATTTATCCGAAACCTAATACAGAACACGAACAAGTTAAAACAATTACATACATAGCAGAACCTAGTGAAAAAGTTTCAAACCATTTGTCAAAATGTGGTTTAAAAAAAGCTTTCAGAACTAACAACACAATAGGACAATATTTAAAAAACAAAAAATGAAATGTCCAAATTCTCAAAAATCAGTTGGCCTTGCCTTCAGTTACTAACTTTTTATGTTTATATTTAATTTATTTTGTTTCCAACTAAGCGTTAATCCAATGTTTTTGTTTCAGATATATTACAACATGAGGAACCGTGAAAAAGATAGCAACATAATTTATAAAGAAGTTGTTGTTGTTGGTATGTATAGTGCGTTGTTTAATTTCTCTCTCTTTTTTTTTTTCGTTCATAACGGTAGACTATCGAATATTTGTTGGAAATATATCTTTGGATGATAACAAGCAGGGTCCATAAATAACAACTGATTGCGAAAGGTGATTATTACATTTGACTCTTTGGATTCGGGTTTGGATTTTAATGCATTGTCATATAACCGTCCGGCCTAAAAATCAAATCAAATCTTGTTTAAAAAAACCGTAAAACTATCTCAGCCCAGATCTTCTCTATAATAATTTAAACATTAAAGATATTAAGCGTTCTATCACAAAATACAGTTCCCAACAAATTTACAAAGACAATGAGTCCGAAAGCAACCTCACACTTACCACTGTTGTCGTTCCTTACTTTCAAAACCTCACTGAACTAACCGAAAGTCCTTATGAAATATAACGTCGATACCAGATTTACCACTGGTCCGAAAATCTCTCAACATCCGTTTGGGATGCCAGCAGTTTACGGGTATGGTCTGTTCATAGATATAAGAAAGTGACCAATGAATGGGATTATCCAAGAGTGGTCATTAACATACAATGCAACAAGATTATTACCTAAACTTTCGGAATTTAAATATACCTGTGTTTAATATTCTTTGGTTTGGTTTACTACTTCGTTTAAGTTTATTAGTAATCATTCTTATTTCGTGTGTATCCCAGGAGATGCTCCCGCCCAAATGTAGAAAACACTATTCTATTGAGACCAAGGAAGTTGTAAACAATGTTTATTTGACTCTCGTTGAACGTGGTTCCAGCAAGCAAGCATCTTCAGAAGAAACGGCCACTGACGAAAATTCTGGACGAAAAGTATGGAAAATTGTGAATAATCCCATTTCAGCGAGGAAAAAAAGAAGCGATGCTGACATTTTCTCGAGTGTAGATGAAAGTGATCAAGATATAATACGTCGTAAAATTTACCAGTTATACGAGGAATAAAGCGTGCCTATAATTAATATCTTAATTAGGAGGCTTGAAAAAGATGAAACCGGTGTTAAATGTGGCAGAACTACCTTATGGAAGTGTATTCAACACAGGCCTTTTAGATTTAAAAAATTGACAAAAGGCAGGTTTTAATCGAATCTTTTAGAATTCGGAAATGGCGACTGGAATATCTAGAAAAAATTAGGATTTACAGAGAACAACAAAAGCCAATTATTTACTTGGATGAAATCTGGTTCTACAGTTATAATACCCCGGAAAAGGGTTGGGTTAACTCAACCGATAAGTGTAAAACAAACGCGCCTTCAAAAAGAGGTAAAAGAATAACTATTTTGCATGCTGGCTCTAAAGATAGTTGGATTTCAAATGGGCTTTGTCTGTCTGCGAAAAATATTAAAGAATCTTCTCTGCAAACAAACTACTTCCAAACATTCCTCCTAATAGCGTCATTGTATTGGAGAATGCAAAATATTACAGTAGACAATTGACTAAAACCCCTTCCTCATGTGACACAAAAGCAACAATTCAAAACTACATGTATAATAACGACATTTATTTTCACGAAGATTATACCAAAAAGCAATTAATTGAGGTTCTACAAAGCTTGAACGTACAAAAGGAATACGTCTGTGATCATTATGCAAAAAATCTACGGCATACAGTTTTAAAGCCTTAAATAAATATTGTTTAGTATCTTTCCTAACAAAACCCCAAATAATTAATTTCTAAGCAAAGTACGGACCTGTTCGGCCATATTTCATTCTTACAGCTTGCCCGGCTCTTTCCTTAATTCGTATCAGTTAGTCACTTGCTTATGTCTATGAACAGACTTTAACATTCAAATTTCATTCTTGAATCTTGAATCTGTATAAATCTATAAGCTACCAAACATTCTTAACCACGACTCAAGTCTTTACCTCCCATGAATATGGCATGAGTTAAGCTCCTCTCCCCTCAAACAATATATAAGCAGGTACAGAGCAGAATACCAGTTTCAGTTAAACTCCCAAGGAGTCAACAGGAATGCGCAAGTTTTATAAGTGGTACTTCTATTGTAACTCTTAAGAAGACGTTCTTGTTGATCTGACCTGTTTGCGTCTCAAATAAATAAAGAAAAGTGTCCAAACCAAGACAATATTAATTCCAAAGCACTAGCCCACTGTATAGAAATTAGTATACGTGTCATGCAAAAATTGGAATATATGAATATATGAATGACGTATAAAATAAAACACTACCAATTTTTTGACATATAAGCCTACATCATATTTGTTTTAGATGCAACACCCTGTATATGTTTAATAGAATATCTTATTCCGATTAGCCCATTCGTTTTTGACAAATCGGCAAAAATAGGAATTTTTTATATAATTAACAATAATAACAACAATAATTATCTACAAATTAAAGTAGAAAAAAAACACTAACAATGACAAGACACATTGAACGAAAAGATTCTTTAACTTTTCTATTGTTATATTTGGTGCTCTAAAAGTTGCAAATAATGATCTCCTGTTAACGTTTGATGTATAAATAGCGGACCTAAAATATGTCCATCTATCACACCACCCCATGCCATTAATCGATTGGTACACCTGGGTTTTTATTTCGTGTATATGTCTAGGATTATTTAAAGACCAATATCGCGTATTTTGCCTATCACAACCCTTTCTTGTAGTGAACGAACTTTCATCAGTGCATAAAATGTTTTTCAAAAAAATATTATTCTCATTATGTCTATTTAAAAAATCCAAACAAAACTGCAGTTTTTGAGTTTTACGGAATTTAATTTATATTCTTTCAAAACTGAGTGGATTGATCCCCGAGAAATACCTGTCCTTTATATACTCTAGTAATAATAATAATAATAATAATAAATAACCTTTATTAAAGTAGAACAAAAAGAATATACTACAGTAGATTTGAACAGCCAGCGCTACTGCACCTAACCACCGATACAATGTAGTAATATATTGAAAATTAACAAGAAAAAAAACTAACAAATAGTCAAATCCATCCAAGATTCACAATTTGACAATTTTAAACAAATCAAAGGGGGATAAAAAAAAAGAAAAAAAATGGACACTGGAAAAAAGCAAGTGCACTATTCAAACACGACTAAAAGGAAAACAATAAACAAAAAAAAAATAAATATAAAAAAAATCAAGCGGTTCAGCCTCTCCTTAATCCCACTAGTTTTTTTTAATTTCTTTTTAAATGTAGAAGTGGATGAACAAGTAATAATACCAAACTCTTGACTGGAACCTTCGGCACTGCACTAACAGAGTTTCGGTTTGTGGTAGAACGCGTTATTGTGTGTAAGTAATAATATCCAGTGGAAGTGAATTATAAGTTTTAATAGCATTATATGTGAAAGAGCTCTGGTACCGGGGCTTTTTGTATCTAGTAATTTTATGCACTAACGTAGACAGATGCACAAAATATCTTTCAGACAGATTTAACCACTGAGAATCATTGACTGCCAGCGTTATATGATCAAATTTACGCAAACCATAGCTTTATCTCAAGCAGGCATTTTGCAATTTTTGTATTGGTTTTTACGTCTTAGAGTCGGCCGCATATCCCAATAGAGAGAGTATAAGAGAGTCACACAATTTAAGTCTAATCTCGGTAGATAAGTAGTCTTTATACATGTAAAGTACTTTCAGTTTCCCGTAGGACTTCTGCAGTAGATAAGATAAGTGATTATCAAAAAGCAGCTTACTATCAAGAAAGACTCCTAAGTTTTTACATTTGTCGACAAATTCAAGCGGAGTACCATTCAAAGAAAGCTTCAAATCTTTATACTGGATAATATCCTCTTTTTTATTGCCAAAAAAAACAACCCGGGTCTTGGAATCATTTAATTTCAGACCATGGGCTTTGGAGATTCTAGAAATCACTTCAAGTTCCTCATTTATGGCATCGTGAGATAAAGCTACATCTTTGACCGAGAATGATAAGTATATTTGCATACCATCTGCATACTGATGAGAATAGTATTTATTTAAATGCCTAGAGATGTCGGAGGTGTGAATAGAGAACAATAAAGGCCCAAAATGCTGCCCTGCGGAACTCTCCTTAGAAATATTTTTTAAGTTTTTATGTATCATGGGGAAGATGCCTCTCTCGAAGAAATGGTGAAAATACAAGCCAAACTGCGAGATGCGTATTGGCATACTAAAAAAATTTTAAAAAAATGACCGATATATAAAATGTTCCTAAGTGCATGTTAAAATATGTATATAAAATAATTAAATATTATAGAATACATATGTGTATTGTTATTTTTCATGTGCCTATAAAATAAATAAATAAATAAATAAATAAAACCTCCATATAGTTAAATGACAGATTCCTTCACCCTTTCCTATTGAAAACTCCATTATAATTCTGAAGCTAGTACACCATGGTAAATTTATTTTAGGCAATGGACCCAGCGGCATAGTGGTCTCTCTCATGTTGAGCGGTTGGTTGCCTTACTTGATATCCGATGAGCATCCCGACGAGATGCTGTCGGCCAGGCTGAAAAATTACGTGGGCAAATGCCTCGTCACCGAAGATCTGTGGGAACTAGCTCGCGGCCTAGAAGGACGATCGCAGAACCCCATATCTTTATTGCTAGACGCGTTGTTACACCCTTACGCCGATATCGGGCTTAAATTCAAATCGCTGGTCGAGTTTAGGAAGACCGGAGTACAGGTATGTAAGTATTTTTATGGATATTACCCCTTCCGCGTTATTGGAAAAAATCGGAAAGGATGTTTATAATCAAAGAGCGGAAAATGCGTAAAATTTTCAAATGCAATGCGAATATGCAAAAAGTATGAACATTAGACTAGTTGAATGTCATCATCTGCAATTCCACTTTAGATATTGATGGTACGCCACTGATTTCCCTTAAAATAAAAATTAATCTTAATTTCTTGATTTATGAAAGGAACAAAAATTCATAAATATTTCAAGCAGACGACATTTCCATTTTATCATCCATTAATAAAAGAAAATTAGTTTTTAGATTTTTTAAAATGCCGATTATATCGGAAATGGGATCCTTATCTTAAATATTTTTTTACTTTAAAATTCTATATTCATATATAATTTCCTATACCCATGTTTCAGGGTTTTTGAGAATTCAATTTTTTTGTCAATAGACCTACCTATACGGCGGAATGTTTTAAAATTACAATTAAATGACTTTTTCTTTTTAGAAAAAGGTCTGTTTAGTAAATTGAGTTAGTCGTTTAGATTAATTAATTAATTTATTATTAATTAAGTCCATGAAAAAGTAACAATTAAATTAAAATTTAAAAATCGGAGAAGTTTATTTTAGTTACAAGAAAAGGTGTACCTCTATTCCGAATATTTATAGTTTTCAAAATATTGAATTTTTGTTCGGAGTAAAACTGTGGAAAAGTGACAATATCGCTATTTTATTAATTAAAAATTGCTGCCAATTGCTATTCTGGCGCATCCGCCAAAAATTCGAAGCATCTGTTAAAAGTCGTAAAATTAAAAGTGGTGGAGGAGGTTGAAATTTGTCAGGCCAATAAACTTTTCTCCACCTCCTAAAGAAAAGGCAGCAAGAGTGTTTAAAGAAGGAAGATTATAAGTGGTCGTTCGAGGTTCAAACTTCGAACCATGCTAAAAAAAAATTATTCATAAAAAATATAATATTTTCGTGTATTTCCACTTTCCACTGTAGTGTTTCTTCATGGAATGAGTCCATCATGCCGTTTAAATTTTACGAATACTATTGTATTATAATACAAAAAAAAACAAAACTCAACTTAAATCTATGAAAAAATCTTGCTTCCAAACGTGGACGATCAAAAACCAACATGATTACAAACAATTTTCCGTTATGATGTGGCATTTTCTTCAATATTCTATCAAAATATACCCTGATCCTATTAAATTCTTAAAAAAATAAACAGTTCTCTACATTATCTAATAGCTATTTGGGATATCTTCCAAGTTAAACAAAAAAAAATCCGAGTTTATATTAATATTGGACTAACAAGCTTTTTTCAAAATGTCAAATTTCAACAATTACTATTTCTTAATTTTCTTAAGCTTCGTTAATTTATCTGACGCCTCAAAATGTTATTTAATAGTTCAGCCGACTCATAGCATTTTAAGGTTATGTTTGACTTGTTTTGTTTTCAATTAGTGTTTAATTATTTAATTGAAATCCAGTCTATTATACAAAAAAAAAAGAGATGCTACCGTGCATGCGTGCGTAGTATAGAGTCGATTTTTCTCAAAATCTTCACGTATTAATAGACACCCTGTATTGTCAGCAATAAGTTTTATTCGTATATCTGAACTATCATATCTTTAAAAGAAGTAGTATCGTGTCTTTGCAAGTGACCTAATGTGGGTTGCTTTAAAATCCACAAGAATTTATACGGGTGTTATCTTAAACCTCGAATATCTGAAAAAGTAAGTAAAATTTGAATATAATATAAATTAAAAACTTACCTTGTTTTTTGTCCTAGGATTGATACCTGAATAAAAATATAGGTTGTTCTATTTGAAAATCTTGAGATTTTGTTAATTAAATTCGTCAAAACGGTACCACCTATTTAGAGTAGTGCATCATTTTCTTAGTCTGTGGTTAAATTTTCGTTGGATCAGTAGCGTCACCACCCAATTTTTTATGAGGCAATCAAAATATGTGACCTTTATTTTCACCAACTAAAATAACAACGTTGATTTTTGCATGGGACACTTTGTACTCCCTGTATCAGCAAAATTATGACATTTTAAATCTTCAGGAGAGTTCAAGAAACTTTTTTTCGTGTCTCCCATGGGGTCGTTTTATTTGGCACACGGTGTACATTTACCGTAACATATCTAACATTGATAATGTTACATTTGAAACGTTATATAAAATGTATTTTTAGATTGCGCTGAAGTTATCAAGGAGACAAGTCGTAAAATCGGCAATAACAACGGTTATTGCATTGCCCCCTACATAAGATTTATCTAACGTAAACATATTGGAATAAGGATGTTTAGGCTAGCGCTCACGACACATTTAATATATTTTTTTTTTAATTTAAAATATTATACCGTGGAAAATTCTATTTAGACGAAGACGTGTAAAAATGGGTATTTTTTTCTTTGCCGCACGCGATATGTTTATTTTACATTATTTCTATTTTTATGGCCTGGTTTTCTAGGGTTAAATCATTTTTATTCACGGGTAGAGTCTATTCATAGATATAAGAAAGTGACTAACTGATACGAATTAAGAAAAGACCCGGGCAAGCTATAAGAATAAAATAAGGCCGAACAGGTCCGTACTTTGCTTGGAATTTAATTATTTGGGGTTTTGTTAGGAAAGATACTAAACAATATTATATATGTTTAAATCTAAAATGAAATTACAATTTTTTTTATTACCTACTTAAATTACTTAAAATTATTCACATAATACAACAGTATCACTATCGCTATCATCGCCTGTTTTAATTATTATTTGTTCCTATATTATTTGCAATATGAATACACGATTGTTTTGCTTTTTCTATATATATCTTTAATATTTTTCGCAGACAGAGAAAGCCCATTTGGAATCCAACCATCTTTAGAGCCAGCATGAAAAATAGTTATTCTTTTACCTCTTTTTGAAGGCGCGTTTGTTTTACACTTATCAGTTGAATCAACCCAACCCTTTTCTGGGGTATCATAAGTGTCGAACAGGTTTCATCCAAGTAAATAATTGGCCTTTGTTGTTCTCTGTAAATCCTATTTTTTCTAGATATTCCAGTCGCCATTTCCGAATTCTAAAAGATTCCATTAAAACTTTCCTTTTATCAATTTTTTTAAATCTAAAACCCATGTGTTGAATACACTTCCATAAGGTAGTTCTGGTACATTTAATACCGGTTTCATCTTCTAGCCTCCTAATTAAAATATCTAGTGTAGGCACGCTTCGTTCCTCGTATAACTGGTAAATTTATGCCGTATTATATCTTGATCACTTTCTACATTCTACAATCGAGAAAATGTCAGCATCGCATCTTTTTTTCCTCGCTGAAATGGGATTATTCACAATTTTCCATACAGTTGATGTTGGAATTTTCGTCAATGTGGCCGTTTCTTCTAAAGATGCTTGCTTGCTGGCACCACGTTCAATGAGAGTCAAATAAACATTGTTTATAATTTGCTTAGTCTCAATAGAATAGTGTTTTCTACATTTGGACGGGAGCATCTTCTGAGATACACTAGACTCGCACATATTTTGCATAATTCGCACACGATTCAACACACGCTGTATTACACACGAAATGATTACTAATAAACTTAACCTAAGTAGTATACCAAACCAAAGAATATTAAACACAGGTACAGACCATATCTTTCTTAACAAAATCCCAAATAATTAAATTCTAAGCAAAGTACGGACCTGTTCGGCCATATTTCATTCTTACAGCTTGCCCGAGTCTTTCCTTAATTTGTTTCTTTTATCTATGAACAGACTTTACCGTTCGAAGCACCAATGTGTAATTGCAAATACACATAAATTTCCGCCTGCCGCCTTGTACTTTACGGTTAGAACGTACCGCACAGTCTTTTTTCTTACCATCGTTTTGGCGTAAAATATGTAATTTACCATCTAGCCGCTTTTCTGTATTCACAAATGGTGATCTGGCAGCAATTTTTTTTTCATTAAAATATCTAAAATGGCAGATATTAAAAGTTTTCTTTTTAAAATTCGATTAGAAAACACCCTGAATACATTGTACGTGACACAACTTCAAATGTATAATAAATTATTTTATTTTTTATTTATTAACTTAGTATACGAAATTAAGTTGTCTGTTAAAGTAAAGACGGTTAATTTATTTATTTATATTCCTTCTCATCGTTCGAAACAGCACCTCATATCGATTTTTTTACATTCAGATCGACCACGTCGTCCTTGGCAAAGGACCACCGGGCGGCTCCTGGCACAGAATGGACCCGGACGTCTTAACTTTATCTCTGGGCAGTTGGATGGCGCTGCCGGGCATCCCCTTCCCTTCCAGTTGCGCGAATGAAAAGCGCGCCTACGCGCGTGACGTGGCCGCCTACTATGAGCATTACGTCCGGAAAATGGGTTTGGGTAAAAATTTCAAAAGCAACGTGCTGGTGACGTCGGTGACGGCCCGCGTAGCCGACGAAGGACCCGACCCGTGGTCGAGGAAGTTCGATAAAGCTGACTCGGCGAAGACCTACGTCGAGCCGCCACGCGAGAACCATGGAAAATCGTGTTTTATAGCTGACGCGATCCACTGCCTCTTCCCTAGGGATTACAGATCGAACAAAAGGTAGATAATAAATTGTTAAAAAAATTATCATATTATATAAAAGTTTGGCGACAAGATACGTGGTCAAAGTGATAGGTAGGAATGCCTCAGGGTTCCGTCCTGGGGCCGTTTTTCGTTATTATCCGCGTAAATAGTATATATACTGATTACAGGCAAGAATTTTAGTTATATCGAATAAAATTTTCCTTTTGTGTCTGTTTCTAAATTTCTAGCATATAAAAGTTGTTGATATATTTTCAGATTTAATAAACCTTCCGTCAGAACAACGACAATGTTTCATTGGTTGGTAAAGTGGACTCATCCAAATGAATTAAAAATTGACTTCTTTCGACAGAACGAAAACAGTTTTTGAAAATTGGCCACATTTTTTTCCTTCTTATCTGGATGCATTTTTCTTTTTACAAAACTTCTGGATTCCTCTTGCGTCGGTTTTTGTTGGGTCGAACTTGCTGACGTTTCGCCAATCATCCTGTTGGCTTCTTCAGAACTTGACTGGAACTGACTGGCGTTTTACTCTGTACCTGCTTATATATTGTTTGAGGAGGGCGGAGCTAATTGGGGAGCATAAACACCTGAGTCGAAGTTAACATTGTTGGGTTGCTTATAGATTTCTATAGACTCTCGGATTTTTCGTTGGTAGAAGAATTGATTACATGCAAGAATCTTAGATTTATCGAATAAAATTTTATGACCGGATTCGTGATTGTGTTCGGCAACAGCTGATGAGTTTATTTGTCTTAGTCGTAAGGCTCTTTCGTGTTCGTGTTTGAGTCTAGTTGATATTTTTTTCCGGTTTCTCCAATGTATTCTTTGCCGCATATGCATGGAATGCTGTAAACTCCTGGCATCTCAAATGGAATTTTGTCTTTGATGGATCGGAAGATGTCGAGAGATTTTTGGACAAGTATTAAATATGGTTTTGACGTTATATTTCTTTAGAACTTTTGATATGTGGTCAGTGATGTTTTGAATATAAGGAAGGACCACAGTGGAAGTGTAGGATTGCTTTCGGCCTCATTGCTATTGGAAGGTTGAGGTGGAATGTATTTTGGGATGGAACGCTTAGTAGAAGTTATTAGAGAGAAGAGCAGAGGCAAGGTGTTTTAATTCTGGGTTGAGTGACTCGGGCTGATATAGTTTTACGACTCTGTAAACAAAGAGTGATGTGATAATGCCTTAAGGTACCGGTCTGTGTGCGTAGGTTTTCTGTAAACACAATGACCCAATGTTAGGTCTGGTTTTGTATTGATAAGAGTATCTAAGAAGGGGAGGTTATTATTAGTTTCAAATTGAATAGTAAAACGGATCTTAGGGTGTATAGAGTTTAAATGTCTAAGAAAATCTACCAGGGATTCTGGACAATGAGCCGAAATAGCAAAAGTATCATCGACGTAGGGTTTCCATAACTTTGGTCTTAGATGGAAGATGGATAGTGGAGAACCCATAGTTGTTCCCGACGTTTGTTCAAAAATTTAACCGTTATAAGAAAAATACGTTCCAGTCATTATGTGTCTTTACTAACATCAATATGGGAATCAGTCATCCGAGACTGTGTTTACGCCCTTCATTTAGCTCCGCTCCCTTCAAACAATAAACAGGTACAGAGTAAAATGCGAACCAGTTTCAGTCAAGCTCTGAACAAGCCATCACGATGATTGGCGAAACGTCAGCAATAACCGACGCAGGAAGAATCCAGAAGTTTTGTAAAAATGTTATAATAATATATATTTCTGAAAACCTTAAATGATTTCCAATTAATGTAAAAAATAATATATATTTTAAAAATTATATGTTTGATTCATAACTACTAAACAGTTAGACCAAGTAAAAAACAAACTACACCACTGGATTCTAGGGAGCTGCGGCGGTTAATGCTTAAATAATAAAATTCATTATAATAGGCCTGAAAGTTTACAAGTGATAAGAGAGAGACTTAATATCGTTGACAAGTTCTAAACAGAGAGAACCGCGATTTTATCACTTCGTATTAATAGGAACTTGAAAGGAAATATTATCCGATGTATAGAAAATAATGAAGGTTATATGGAAAATGTTTAACATTAATTATAGATATTTTTATTGTTAAATAATTTATTGTAAATATCTTAGAACATTGTTAAAACAATAGCAAACATAGATGTTACGGTTGCTATCAAGGCAGACTTGACCATTTTTAAACAATGTAGCTATTGTTCAGAACTGGAAAGATTATTATTTTTAAACTGAAATATCTCCAAAACGGCTAAACGAAATGTCAATACACTTTTTGACAGCTTGCGATCGTCCTTTGTTTTTTTCTGACATTTGCATAATATAATATAGCAAAAATCTTCAAAATTTTGCATTTAAACTTTCAAAATTAACCCTGTAGGTGGGTTGACGTGACGTGGCTTTTACTTGGTGAAAATCCATTTAACAAAATAAATAAGAACTAAAAGTTACATGACAGTTGTTTCGACAACACCGTGTCTTTAACAAATGTTATATTTACAAACTCTTTACTGTATATACTGAAAAAGCATTACATTTGATACAGACACGGTGTTGTCGAAGCAATTGTCATATGAAAATATATATTTTCCAGAAAATTTGAACTTTTAGTTTTTATTTATCCTGGAGGTGGGTGTCAAAATATAATGATTAACCCAGTACGATTTGCAATTGCAGATCGAACAACGGCCCGCACTCCGGCAACTGTAACCGCAGACTGAAGACGGGGCCCGGATTCGTGTCGAAACACGAGAGGAAGAAAGAGCTTTGTTGTTGCTGTTGTTGTTGTTGCCGTGAGACGAACGACCAGCAACCCCGGCGGACCTCGGATTTCCACAAAAAACCCGTGCCTTTCTACAGTAGACTAAGTTCCCCTTCGAGTTGTGATACGCGTAGCTCTAATTGGTTAGTGAGGACGGACGACGTAGATACAGGTATACTTCGACCAGAAACATAGTGCTATTACAACCGACCCCATCATTAACTTTGCCTACTGTTTATTACTCCAAAACCGCAGAACTTTATCCGTAACTATTCCAGGACCGTCCTAGGAATTTATGTACCTAGGCTAGCAAGCGGGATATAAGTATGTTTTCATTCCTTTTCGACAAGCGTCATTGCGTTGTCATAAAAGAATTAGTACAATTTATGACGTTCTATTTCATTACATTTCTGCGTATTAATAAATTATTAATAAACAAAATATTAAATATAATAATAATATAGTAAAAAATCGTCACTATCGCCACTGTCACCTAGTTCAATGATCAACTCCCCCGCTAATCGTTCTCGAAGATTATTTTCTTCTTTTATTAATCATTTTCTTCTTATATGCGTTTTCAACCGATTTTGTGGTCTTTATTAAAATGTTTTATTTTTAATCATTCCAGAAATTGTTTTCTCGTAAAACATAAATCATTTTCGAAGAAGTATTCGGAATTTTTCTAATTTGGGCTGAATGATAAGTCAAATATTTCCGGCCAAAAAAAGCCTCGCAGGGTCGAAACTACATAAATACGTACTTGCTGGAAGAATCACATTCAAATCAAATATATTCGAACATATTGCCATTTAGGTTGAACCCTTAACCCATATTATCGCAGGCATAAAAAAAAATAAATACTTTTTTCTTTGAAATTATTTATTTTATTGCACTTAAGAATACATTACATGTGTCAAAAAAAAATTTAAAAAAATTTTTGGGGCACATAAGCTGTAACATATAATTTATACATAAATATACAAAAGAAAGTTCAAATTCGATAGAAAACAATTAAAAGTAGATTGTTTCCCAAATAGAACCTGATTTGCTACAAAAAAAACGCATAATATTTTATGAAAATGCCATATTTTACGAACTGTAAATATTTTCAAAAAATAAAGCATAGTCAATATAGTATCTCCAATGTATGTTTTCTGCGATGTCATCTACATACTATATACTTAACAAAAATGGCAATACAAATCGAAAATATTTTTTTTTACTCTTTTGGATTTTCTGGAAAATGTGATTTTTTACATCATTCCTTTACACATAGATTAGCGATTTCTACGGTTTTATGTCCTTTAGCAGTGATAATAATAAAATTTCTAAACGGATGTGCAAAAATATGTCCTGGATGTGACAAAAAAAATCATAGAATAGGTGGCACCCCTGGGACAAAATGGGTTAAGAACGATATATATCACCCGGTGTTAAAATAAACTCTTCTACTTTTGCGAAAATACCCCGCAGGATCAATGCTTAATCAAATTTAAAACGGTCCATTTACATTTCAAATAAAAATTTGAAATTTCTACAATTATTCGTTACGATCCATCTCAGGCAAGACCTACTTAATGCAGAATAACCATCTGTTGGGATGGTTTTTACCACGGTCCTGTGATGGTACTGCAAAATACTTAAAACGTCAAAGCAATAAATGTACTATATTTTTGGTCGTATTATAACGCAGTGACGTACGCCTGCAAGTATCTGGTGCTCGCTTGCGGCACGTACGACATGCCGAATCGGTTGGAGGTTCTCAACGACGATCCCGATTGGTTGGTGCACGATCTGCGCGCCCTCGAACTGAAGCTCGACGAAATGTTAAAGCTCGGAAAGGTGACCGACCCGGTGTTGATCGCGGGGGCGGGGCTGAGCGCCGCGGACGCGGTAATCGCCACCAGGGCGCGCGGCGTGCCAGTCGTGCACGTTTTCAGGAACAAAACGGCCGAATTCAGCAAGCAGCTGCCTGAGAATATGTACCCGGAATACCACAAGGTAATTGTCGATGGCCGATTTAACACGGGCACACACACACCAACATTTTTTTTTGTTTTACGTCACGGATAAACTCTGATAACATATCAATTGTTCCCGTTGCTCTTAGTCGATGTGTTACCCGTCCGCGATGACGTCTTTTTTGGTTAATTTAAGTGAGAGGCGAAAAAATTTGGAAAAAACTTTACGATTTCCAATCATTTCTAAAAAAATTTAATTTCTTGATTTTTTTCAATCAATAGGACCGACTCAAAAATGTATTTATTTTATATTATATGCGGACTAGTGTCCTTTAAAAAAATATATTACAAGACTTTTTACTTAAACGATTTTTATTTTTAATAAATACTACCTACTATTAATAATTCTCAAAAAAATTATGTGCTAATAAATTAATAAAAAACTTTTTGAAAAAAAAAATAAAACATAGGAACTAGATAAGTTGAACGTATCCTCCATTTTGACAGATACAAGTGTCTTCGCGACCGAAAAAATTCTTAAACGAGAAGACGCAGAAGTTTCGGAGCCGTAAAATGTACCGGGTGCGCCGCAAACTCAAAAAAAAAACTGAAAATTGGGTCCCCCTGTTATTGAAAATTGGCTATAACTGAACTTCGGATGTTAGTTTTGGTTAGCTAAAACCTTTATATTTAAGGTTTTCACCTGTTGTACAGGGTGTTCAAGATATTAAGTTCTATATTCAAAAATTAACAGGTGTCTTAACTTTGCAGCTATCGACTTCAGATTTGACAGAAGGGTAGAAGTCCACATCCGCATTTAATCTGTTAATAATGAACTTACTCAAATCTCGCAAAGTATTTTTTTTAATTTTTGAAAAAATTTTTTGGTATATTTTGACTTCCAGAAGGAAATTATTTTCTCGAAAACGGTATATACGATCGAACAAATTTTTGAACCAAACGACGCTTCAGACCTGTACCGAAAACCTTCATCCTTGATGATTTTTTAAAAATATACAGGGTGCGGCGGTAATTTGAAAAAAACTGAAAATCGGACTCCCTTTATAATGACAATTGACCATAACTAGAAGGCTGTGATTTTGTTGTCAGTTTCTTTCACATGGCTATATAGCGCGTATGGACAGCTAATATTTTTGTATTTAAGGTTTTCACATATTATACAGGGTGTTCGGAATATTCTGTGCTATATTCAAAAACGTCATAAGTGTCTCAAATATATAGGCATCGACTTCAAATTTGGCAATAAAAGTCCGTACGCACATCTAAATAGTAGAAATTGAGCGTAATGTCACCAAATATATATGTTTTTAATTTTCTCTAATTATTTTGTCTTCCAGATTGGCAAAATGTTAGAGCCAGAAAACGGCGAAGATTCGGGGCTCTGACTTTTTTATTTTAGGCGTTTTTTATACACAGGGTTTTTCAATTATGAACAAAAATCTAAAAAACCGTGAAAGAGGTACTTTTTTGGAATAAATTATTAACCGCAAATCAAAATTCGTAAAACATATGGCCAATTCTCGCCCCCAATCTAAATGCGATGACGTCATTTACTATTACCTCGCACGGTTTCAGAAAACAAGTATTTTCTTGAAAACCACTTACTCCATTGAAAAAAATGAAATGCCAGGAAACGTGGGAGGTCCAGGGCTATAACCTCTATTTAGAACATTGTTTAAATCATATACAGGGTGTATCGTTTATCAAGAACATCCTAAAAATTTCCGTTTTTGTTGGTAAATTATTGGGGATAAATGAAATACTGCTAAAAATCCGTTAATTTGATTTGAACGGTATCGTAAACTGTCTCGAGAGAGAGTTTCAGGTTTCGTCAATTATACAGGGCGCGCGAGATATTTGAAAAAATATCATTATTTCCCAGCTGCGATTTTTCGAAAGCAATCTTGTTTTTATCGCCGGCTACGATTTGATTTCTCGCAGGTCAACCAAATGATGAAAGATGGCGGCGCTTCGTACCCCCTCTACAAGTCGTATCCGGAATACGACGTGACCGACGTCGATCAAAACGCCAGGACAGTGACCCTGAGCTCGAAAACCGGCGAAAGGATAAAAATGAACGTATCACTTGCAGCGGTCCTCATAGGATCCAGACCTGACCTATCCTTTTTGCCGCCCAGCTACAGTTTGGGCGTGCGGGACGATCAATCGATTGATTCCAAAACGAACCCCGTCAGGATCGACCCCCTGACGCACCAGGTGCTCGGTTACGACGGTCTCTTCGCAGTGGGTCCATTGGCGGGTGATAATTTCGTGCGGTTCATTCCAGGTGGTGCTTTAGCTTTAATTTCGAAAATATACAAATCAGAGTAGGGGGGAAATCGGGCGTATATTTTTTAGCAATCTTTAGCTGTTCCATTTTCATGGGTTGTACGGTACAAGCTGTACGATTTAACTGTTTCAGCACGAAGAAAAAAATGTATTCCAAAAATCAATATTTTATACGTTTTTCTAACACAAGACGCTTAAAAACAAACGCAAACATAAATTTCAAACAATTAGACCTACGGTGGTTTACAGGGTGGTCCGGGGGTTACAAAAAAAAATTAAATACAAAAGTTGTTTCTATTGAAATGACCTTTATTTTTTTTTAATTTTCATCGTCACTTTTTATATACCAGGTGGTAAACCAAAGTAACATTTTTTAAAAATAAAAATAAAAGAAATAGACAAAAAAGACAAATTCTTGGGGTAAGTGGACGCAGAAAAAAAAACTATTATATTTAGGAAGTACAGAACCAAGTATTTATTACATTGGCACATTACAAATAAGCATATGAAAAATAAAAACATAAACTTTCGGATTCTCAGTCTTATTATTGAAAAACTAAAAGAACAAGTTAATTATGCTCGCACTTGTCCCGCCATTGGGGTGTACGTAGGGGAAAACCGGGTAAGATGACGAGGTTAAGAAGAAACGTATATATTATTGGTTATTTATTATAAATTCTCGCAAAACTTTCTCATAACAAAATCTTAGGAATTATCCTTATCAAAAATAAACATCCAGTAAGTTCAAAATATTTAAAATGTAGTTTAAATGGATGAGGATAAGATGACGAATTGACAGAAGTCACAAAGTAATTTATTCCATCAAAATGACTGCACGCCTCATGCCACCACAGCTGGCAGGACGAGCATTGAATCCACTCCTCCATCTCCATCCCGGACACAATATAACTTCACATTCACTCTTTCTTTCGTCATGTTTTTTCCGAGTTTCATTTTTCTGTTCGTTAAGTTTCCTTTGGTTTTTCAGCTCTCGTTTATTCTTTTTTCTTTTTCAATGGCAAGATTTTCTTTTTCTTGAAGCTCTTTTTTACCGGTGTGGGCGTTATAATTCTTACTGCAATCTTTTTCTTTTTAGTAATGGTCTCGTTTCTAGAAGCTCTTGGAAGTGGTTTTATTTCTTCCACCGAAACTCTTTTTTCGTTGCACTGATCACTTATTGTAGATTTTTGACGGTTAACACTTTCCACTTTTTCTTTCAACGTTTTCATTCCGCTTGGACCGGGTCGATCCATCAGATCCATTTCGTTGTTTGCCGAATTCCCATCATCAACAAATAAGGTTCTTTTTACTGCATCTGTTTTCGATCGGTTCATACAATTACCAGGATTCGGTGTTGGATTTTCATCCGGATTGTTTTGCTTTGATGCAAACTTAATCAACGGTTGACTGTCCTCGGCCTCACTGTCAGTATCGTTTAACATTTCACAATTCAAATTTGGCATTTCTCTATCTGTGGTTAAAGCTGGTGCAAAATAATCGTCAAATATATTCCGATCAAATCCATTTTTTTCCTTGATAACAAATGTACCGCTGCCAGCCCTGTATTACTAGAATATACTCGAACCAGAATTATAGTGCTTTTACAACCGACCCCGTGATTAACTTCGTCCACTGTTTATTACTCCAAAACTGCAGACCCTTACCCGCAACCATTCCAGGACCGTCCTAGGACTTTATCTACCTACGCTAGCAAGAGAGATATAAGTATATTTTCAATCTTTTTCGCCGAGCAATTCTTGAAACATGGACATAAAAAAATCAGTACTACCTTCTATTTCATTACATTTCCACATAGTATCATTATTAACATTAATATTTCATGTCCGTTTAGTTGTGCTATTGAATCGATTTTGTAGTCTTCATTAAAATGTTTTATTTTTAATAATTCCAGTTGTTGTTTTTTCGTGTAGCTCTCGTCAAAATATGAATTATTTCCGCACGGAGATTCTTTAATTTCTTCTCTATTTGAATAGGTATTTGGATTTTTCCTAATGAAACGAGGTATTATCCAAAACAATAGCAGTATTTGGCAACAGTTTATTTTCAAACCAGTCCTCAAGCTTTCACGTTCTTACCAGATGAAAATAAGGCATCTTCCACCATTTTCGAACCCAGCGTGAAGAATTATTACGCATTTTTCATGTGAAGGCACACACTTGTTACTTTTATCACACCATCTTTTTTTTACTGTGTCATGAGTGTCGAACCACGTTTCATCTAATATTGGCCTATTTTGTTTTGGAAATTTTTCACTTGTATTTAAATAATCCTCCCTCCATTGCGCAATTCTTTGATATTCCATTAGCACCGAAAATCCATTTTGTTCAAAAAAGTGTCAGTGTCAGTACTTTTTCATGCAGGATTAAAATTCACTTTATAAGCGTCGTATATTATACGCCTAATTAAATAGGCGTGTTGCTTTTTGAAAACTGGCGAAGTACCAACATCTTCTCTCACTATCCTCTTGACTATCCCACTTGCAACAATTTTTCTATCTATCTTCGATTCTTTTTTAAGACTATAGATTATATTCGTGGTAGATAAAGGCACGTCATAAGAATGCAGATAAATATTTATTAGACTCTTACGATTAAACATTTTTTGAAGGTTCCCTACTGAACTGTACCTTCAACACGCACAAAAACTGAAAACAGTGTTGTCTGTGGAAATGCGGAGCACAAACATATTCGCTTTTCAGACAAAATTGAGGTTATGTGCATAGACAAACTATTATGTTCGTTTGTTGTTTGCCCTATGAACATAGAAAAATGAGATTGGTTATTTGCTATAAATTAGCGAATGCGGGAAGAGAGATGTTGCTGTTTATATAGTCTGGTTTTTGGTCAATTCATAATTTTTTTTAACAAAATTAAAATGTTACATTGTTTATTTAGGTTGAACCGCGAATTTTTCCGTACTAATGAAAAAAACTAAGTGAAAATATTCGAGATATGTGAGCGACGTGTGACTTAATAATCAAAATCGTCAAACATCTTCCCTTTGAAGTGGACAAAAAGCAATCTCCAATTGGAAATGAAAACGTGAAAGGTTCTTGGTTAAGTTTAGGCCGGACTTTTATTAAAAACGGATTAAAAGTCGTCCTGAATTTAAACAAGCAACATATTCTACTTTCACTAGTTAGGTAGGATTATTAGCAAGGATTAGTCGCGTCATCGCTTCGTGGTCGCCTCCATACTGTTTTTTATAGTTTATCCGGAATTAAGGAAATTTATAATGAACGGTAATGAAGTTAAGCGATCTAACGAAATCTTTGCTAATAATTTCTATTATCCCTATATAGCACAAAATGGAACAACTAAATGGTTTTGCTGTTCAGATTGAAAGTACAGACACCATTAAATCAGCATTTATATTGTAGGTCACGTTACAACATGCAGGGCATTTTCTGAAAGTTTGGTTGTTGTCAAAACGATTAATTTTCGAAGTGTAATTTTTCGATTTTGGGATATGTGCAATTGTGTGCTACGACACGTTTTACTGTACTTCAGTGTTCTACGGTGTTGGCATAACTCAAAAGCTGCATCGTTCGTCCACTTTTGGTTGTCACTTTATTCCGTCTATCTGTAGCGTCAAGAAGCGTTTTTTTTTACTTGTTTTTAGTATCGATTTCGATTTACATTGGAGTATTTTTGTAATCAGTGATCGTTGTCTTCAAGTTTAAAATAAAATACTTGTTTGGAAATATGAGTTTTTATTTCCGATGAAATGAATGGGCATAGCCATAGAAATAGGGTCACCAAACATTTTGGTAAGTTTCTGGATTTAATATACCAATTTCTGGTAAAAATAAATTAAGATTAAAAGAAAAACAAAATTTTTAAATGAATATGTCAAAAGGAATAGGTTTTTTAGGAGAAATAAAGTGATAAGTATTTGTTTAGGAATGATGGGTTTGGCTTGCCAACAATAACATTGAGCTATTTGTCAACGTCATTAAGTTGCGTTTTATTACGAATTTGTGTATCTAATTTGTATCTAAGTGTATTAAAAAGGCCAACGTTACATAAAAGCAGTATAGCGAGAAGAAAAACAACCTTAGTTTTTAATTATTCATTTGTTAAATATTTTAGATTAGATTTGTTATTAATCTTTTCCTAATTAGATTTTTGTAAAAAAAAGTGTTTTATAACCGATTGAAATTAATAAAAATATATATATATATATATATATATTTATTATTGTAAAATGAAAATATAACAGGGTTCTCTTGATCGAACAATAACAGCTTGATTTAGTAGAATTTATTTTCATTTGGCAATTTCATTGCATTTTTTTAATACCTAAGGTGTAAATTTTAAAAAAAAAAAAAACAATAACTTTTTCCTAAATTTTCGATGAATAATGAATGACATGTAATAACTGCGCTTTAAACAAATTTGTCGTACAAAAACTCATTATTTTTTATATAAACAAGTTATTTACAGTAAACAAAAAAACAATTCTTATTGCAACGGACAAAATACAGTTTTACTTTGTCAATTTGCATAAAAATACAAGCGTTATTTATCTCCATTGTGCTTATGGGATACCAGGGATTTTAAAAATGCAGGTATTATTTCTGTTTCGTTATTTTTTGTTTCATGTTATTATATGTGTTCAGAAATAACACAATAGCCAACTATTACTTTTACTTATTAACTGAAATTAACCACTTTAACGTCCAGCACGGAATGTTCTTCTACTTGCTTTTATTGGGCAAGATTACCATGGACACTCGCCCTTCACAGAATGTCTGTCTCGTCTGATTAATGACAGTTAACCTACGGTCACAGACAAAAGTCTGCAGTATAAAGCAAACTGACTTCCGTCTATAAAATATGTTTCCCAATACTCGATAGATGATAATTAGTTTTCGAATTAATGCGCTCACTATTCTAGCCGTTAGAGAGTTTTCCGTAAGCAAAGCACGGACTTTATTAGCAATTCATGCATTGAAACGTGCAATATAGAGGAAGTTTTACGGTTTCGCCGTACACACACTTCACAAATTTACTGCAATAAGAATTTATAGTAGATAGCTTTTACACCACGAACTTCAGTTCGAGAAAAATCCTGTTTTTTTAGTATGTATCAGCTTCCAGCAGCAGCAAATCAATCAAAATTATCCATAAAAATGTATGTGTAGTATAGATCGAAATACAAAGGTCTGACGTCACAACAGACAGCAGCGCGTTTTTACGAGCCTGCAAAATTATTCAAACTTTGAACTTTTATTTTTCAGGTCATTCAATTGTGCTTGGAATTTTCCTTTTTTTGCTAACTTTATTTTGATATCTTATTTTAATTTTTTTAAAATGAGCAATTTGCAATTTTTGCAAAGAAAAAAATTAAGCTATCTTTATTATTTTACGTAGAGAATAAGGACGTAGCCTTCATACCTCCTCTAGTTGGGAAAAAAAAATAAAATAAAACACCGTCGCTAATATAAAAAATGACTTTTAATTCAAGGAAGCTGGAAAATAATTACAATAAAAGGAACGGCGCAACATTCGCAATGTTAGAATTTCGCGTGACGCAAAGAAACGAAAACGGGACGTTAAAAGAAAATTCGCATGTTTTTATTTTTCAGGTGGGAAAGCGTATTTCCTCGAAAACACAAAACGAACGAAAAAAAAAAAGATAAAAGGGACGACGACGTAAGAACGCGAAACATCGAAAGGCAACCAAGTCAGTCTTCGTAATAAATTATGTATTCGAAATAAGTGAAGGAATGTCGAAGAGAAAAGTACAAAAAAAAAAAACAAACATGCGAACGCGGTACAAAAATTTCCAAAAAAAAAATCTGGGGGGGGGGGATATGGGCCGGGTCGGAACTTAATTCTCGTCGACTTCCGCCTCTTGGTCTTCGTCGAAGTCGGCGTCTTCGTCCGCCGTTGCTTCCTGGTACTGCTGGTATTCCGACACCAAATCGTTCATGTTGGATTCGGCTTCCGTGAATTCCATCTCGTCCATACCCTCGCCGGTGTACCAATGCAAGAAAGCCTTGCGCCTGAACATGGCGGTAAACTGTTCGGAGATACGTTTAAACAATTCTTGGATGGCGGTAGAGTTGCCGATAAACGTGGCAGACATCTTTAATCCTCTGGGCGGGATGTCGCAAACGGCGGTCTTGACGTTGTTCGGGATCCATTCGACGAAGTAGCTGCTGTTCTTGTTCTGTATGTTGAGCATTTGCTCGTCCACTTCCTTCATTGACATTCGTCCTGCGGGGGGACGGTCACCATCGGTTAGAAGTTAAAAGGGCGAAACTTCCATCAAAATTGCCATTTAAAGAGCTTAGAACAGAAACTTTCTTGCGTTTTGCATTCTTAGTTACACACAATAAGTACCAAATACTATAAGAACAAATATAAACTCGGCACAGGCAGTGTCGCCTTTTTTGTCTACTTCTTAGACACTTGTTTTTTGGGAGGGGGAGAAAGAGAGAGCAATGAGGAGAAAGGAAGGGAAACAGAGAGAAAAGGGGAGAAAGGAAGAGAAAGAGAGAGAAAAGGGGAGAAATGGAGAGAGAGATAAAAGGGGAGAAATGAAGAGAGAGATAAAAGGGGAAGAAAGAGGAAAAAGGGGGGATATAGGGGGAGGGAGAGAGAGAGAAAATGAGAGAAAAGGGGGATAGAGGGGTGGGGGAGAGAAATGGAGAGGCAGAGAGAAAGGGAGAAAGACCAAGGGAGAGAAGGAAAGAGTTTTATGATCAAAGTACAGTTAATAATTCTTAATACATGTGATATCATTCGGAATGAAGTTTTGTAATAAAAATGGATTTCAAAAAACAATTATTTAGTTATGATGTTTGTCGGTTACCGTTCTTCGCATAATTTTGAAAACTATCGAATTTGGGAAAGGGGAGAAAGGGAGAAAGAGAGTGGGGGGAGAGAGAGAGAGGGAGAAAATGAGAGAAAAGGGGAACACACAGAGAGAAAAGGGGGTGGAGAGAAAGGAAGAGAGACGCAGGGAAAGGGAGAGATGGGGAAAAGGGGGGAGGGGGAGAGAGGGAGAGAGGGAGAGAGAGAGAATGGGGGAGAAAGAAAGTTTCATGATCAAAGTGCAGTTAATAATTGGTAATACATGTGATATCATTCGGAAGGAAGTTTTGTAATAAAAAAGCATTAAAAAAAACAATCATTCAATTATGATGGAGGGCCACCTGAAGCATTACACAATCAACACAGGCAGAATTCGACTTTGTTTGAAATAATGGCTTTAATTGAGTCAATAGTTGCGAGTTTAAATGCAAATGATATATTCGCGTTGAACTTTGGATTTTTATAGAAAGAAGTGGTATCGGGGCAATTGTTAATATTGCTAAAAGCAGAAGTAAAATATTGATTAATATCACTGGAATTTTTTAAGTTAGGTGGTATTTCCAAAAACGGTCGATTACAAATTTTAAACAAATTTAAAGTTATCCACATTTGTCTAGAATTCCTAGAATCGAAATTGTAAGACAAATATGCCAATTTTTCTGCACCTGAAACAAGATTCCTTATTTCTTTATATTATAGTTCTGCGGGTTGCACACTAATAAATGCTGTCGACATGAATGGGGTATCTTTACTGCTAGAACTTTTATTTAAAAATCAAAATTATGAACTTTTATGATAACTATTAACCATATTTTCACTTTTTTTCCCAGTTTGTAGTAAAAAGAGAGATATGTTCTTTGCTATAATAGAAAATTTTGGCTTTTGACAATTTTAATGTATTTACAAAAGTTTAGCTGTTTTGAATTATTTGCAATCTATATTTATTAACACCATCAAGCCGTGGGTAATGGCGGACTAAACCGTAGTTCGTAATCGAAAGGACAAGTGATTGAGCTTAAAAGTTTCAGTTCGATGCTGTATAAATGGCGCAAAACCAAATAAGACTTTTTCACCGACAAAGGTACACAAAAAAACGAAATTACCTCTGAAAACTGCCGCGACCGTGAGGTAGCGTCCGTGTCTGGGATCGCACGCCGCCATCATGTTCTTGGCATCGAACATTTGTTGAGTGAGTTCAGGTACGGTCAGAGCTCTGTATTGCTGGCTTCCTCTGGACGTGAGAGGCGCGAAACCGGGCATGAAGAAGTGAAGACGTGGGAAGGGTACCATGTTAACAGCCAGTTTCCTCAAATCGGCATTCAGCTGACCAGGGAATCTCAAACACGTCGTGACCCCAGACATCGTCAGCGATACTAGATGGTTCAAGTCTCCGTAAGTGGGGGTGGTCAGTTTGAGGGTCCTAAAGCAAATGTCGTAGAGAGCTTCGTTATCGATACAGTAGGTTTCGTCCGTGTTTTCCACTAGTTGATGGACCGATAGGGTGGCGTTGTACGGTTCGACGACGGTGTCCGATACTTTGGGTGAGGGGACCACGGAATAGGTGTTCATTATCCTGTCGGGATACTCCTCCCGGATTTTAGAGATGAGGAGTGTGCCCATGCCAGATCCGGTGCCGCCGCCAAGCGAATGGGTCAATTGGAAACCTTGCAAACAGTCGCAAGATTCCGCCTCTTTTCTCACTACGTCTAGAACTGAGTCGACTAGTTCCGCGCCTTCGGTGTAGTGTCCCTTGGCCCAGTTGTTGCCGGCTCCGGACTGTCCGAATACGAAATTGTCTGGCCTGAAAATCTGTCCGAACGGACCCGATCGGACGGAGTCCATGGTGCCGGGTTCCAAATCGACCAGGATGGCACGCGGTACGTATTTGCCTCCCGAAGCTTCATTGTAATATACGTTTATCCTCTCCAGCTGGAGATCCGAGTCTCCGTGGTAAGCTCCGGTGGGGTCGATGCCGTGTTCGTCGGAGATAATTTCCCAGAACTAGAATGAAAGAGAGGAACATTTCCCACTTGCGTATAAATCGCTTATTTTGTGTTGTTTGCGTCCGTTCTCAGTTCTCGTCATTTGGTTTTTCCTGAATAACTTTCGAACCGTTGAAGCTACAAAATTGAAAAAATGGCCCTGATCGGACTCCGGTATCCACCTTTTTTTCGCGATTTTCGACTGTTTTTTGGCCCTTGCTATGAAACATGATAAGTGTCCGAAATTTGAAGCAATCGACTTCATATTTGGCGCAGTGCAATAACATTTATTTCGGACTTTTTTTCGATTATATACAGGGTTTTCAAATTACAGGCAAAAATCTAAAAGATAGAAAATTGTTCTTTTACAGAGTAAATTATTAGTCACAAACCAAAAATCGTAAAAAATATTGCTAATAGGTTCCAACAGTGTTATCACATACGCTGGGGATATTTAAAAAAAATCCATATTGAAATCGCTGTTTCGGGGGCAGGCAAGACGCGATGACGTCATTGATTATTACCGCCCACTGCATGGTTTCAGAACTTATTTTCTCGAAAACCATTTACTATTTTCAAAAAATTCTTGAACCGGGACGCGTGGAAAATTCAGGGCTATAACCTCTACTTCGAACAATCATATACAGGGTGTGTCGTTCATGGCAAAAAATTTAAAGTATCCTAATAATTTCCGTTTTGGTGGGTAAATTATTTGCGATAAATCAAAACCCCTTAAAGATGGGATAATTCTATTTGAACAGTATCGTAAACCGTGTCGTGAGAGAGTTTCAGGTTTAGTAAATTATACAGGGGGCGAGATATTTGAAAAAATATCATTCGACAACACTATTATTTGTGCAAATTTTAATATTTGCCGTTTGCTGTAACTTTGAAGGATCTATTTAATTAATTAGGCGTACAATGTACGACGCTTATAAAATAAATAGTGTTTCAACTCTAGAAAAACTGCATAAAAAGTACTGATAGACTTGAACATTAGTTATGTATTTTTTTGAAGAAAATGGATTTTCAGTTCCAAACAATTAATAAACCTAGTGTATTTAGAGAAAGGATGGTGTGATAACAGTAACAAGTGTGTACTAGAAGTACCGGCTTCACATGGAAAACGCATAATAATTCTTCATGCGGGGCCCAAAATGGATGGGTGGAGGATGGCCTATTTTTGTCTACCAAAAACGTCAAAGATTCAAGTATAGAACATGACCGAGGAAATATCTGAAGACACGTTTGAAAATACACTGTTGTTGACTTTCCATCCTAGCGTTGTTCTTATATACGAAGCCTCGTAAGTGGCAGTTGTATAGTAAAACATACGGTAAGACCAGACGTCTGGTATTGCCCGACTTCCAGTCTGGCTGAGCAGAAAATCGATAATCGCCGAAAAGAAAAAAGGGTGAGGGAAGAGGGGTGTGTAGCGAAGTAACGCATAAGAGGCGTTGGTTGCCACGCGAAAATCGTTAAAATGCTTTTCTTTTTAAGGTGCGGCCTTGAAGTAGGGCAACCTAAAACCGTTACTCTCTTATAGTACTGAAAACCTTGATAAAGGAATTTATTTAGTTGGATATCCCGTATGTGCGTGCGTGTTCATTCCAGTATAAATTTGCAATTATTATAAAAATGAAAATTCTCCACAAAATCTTCATTTTTTTTTGTATCTCGCTTGGTTTCTGAGATAGAATTAAAACAAAAAAATGCAAACATTTTTTACATTCAATCTTTACAATGATACCAAAATATACAAGAATGACTGGAAATATATTTTATAGTAAATTTTGTTACCAATTTACTACAAAATCGGTCACAAAATTTAAGAAACTAGAAATATTTGTAGTAAATTTAGTTCAGAAAAAAATTCATCGAAAATCGACCTCCCCACATTTTTTCGAATCTCGCTTGGTTTTTGAGATATAGTAAAGACAAATAAAAATGTTTTTTTTTTCCATTCAAACGTAAATATCTTTTCAATATACAAAACATAAGAATAATGACTGGAAATACTTTTTTGTAGTAAATGTAATTCTCTACAAAACCGATCTCATCACATTTTTTTGTATCTCGCTTGGTTTTTGTGATATAGTGAAAAAAAAATTTTTTTCATTCAATATAAGGATATTGACTGAAAATATTTTTGGTTGTAAATTTAATTCTCCACAAAATCCATCTTCCCACATTTTTTCATATCCCGCTTGTTTTTGGGATAAAGTGAAAACAAAAAAAAAATTTTTTTCATTCAAACGTGAATAACTTTTCAATATACAAAATATAAGAGTAATTACTGGAAATATTTTTGTGTAGTAAATTTAATTCACTACAAAATCGATCTCTCCACATTTTTTCTGAGTTCTGAGATATAATGGAAATAAAAAAAATGTAAATATTTATTATTATTGTTAATAACAAATATGAATTCTTCTGGTTCGAACGAGTTCAAGTATCACAATTTGTTGGATATATACTCGCTGATACCTCTAATGAAAGCAAGACGATAAGACTGACGATGGTGACAAGGATTCAGGTATGCAATTGGCATAGTAAATATAGAAGAAAATTTGATGGCAATTTTCCATTATACTTTTTATACTTATATTTATAAGTTTTGGTTAGTTCATCCCGTTTTATTAAAACAAAAATTCGACAAAAATTGATATAAATCACAATTATTCAAAAAGTGTTTAGATGCACCATGTCAAGAGAAAAATTTCCACTGAAAATATTCGTTTGAATGTTAAAAATATTTGATTTTTTTTATTTTCACCAAGTCCCAGAAACTAACTGGGATACGAAAAAATCTGAAGGGGCCGATTCTATAGAGAATTATTAAATTTCCTACAAAAAGTATATTTATGAGTGCAAAGATATAGTGGAATGAACATGCGCGCATAAGGGATATTCAACTCCTTCGCCAGAGTGTTAATGCCGCCACTTTGTTATGCAAATTGGAATTTACAATTAAAATGGTAGCCACATACCAAACAGCGGAAATAATACTTCCTCTATAATTATATAAAAAAAATATACACGATTATAATTTTAAAAATACCAACATTTCAGAATCCTCCTTTTCTTGTAATTTAACCAGTATTGGTATTTAAACAATATTTTACGAAAACCAGAAGTTTTTATAGTATATATACAACTAGGGTTCGTCATGGACTAAGTAATGGCTAAGATACCTTAACAGGTAAAGAAAAACCGCCATATGTTGTTTACTGCTACTACACGCCGCGTATGAACCACATACGTACGTGTGTTTGTCACGACCCAAAACAATTCAAGCGTGAGTCAAATCATTTCTATATATAGTCCCGACGAGAAACGATTGCGTAAGCGCCAATGTCGTTCCATTTATGGGCAACCCACTTCTGCATTTTTCCAGCCTTGATGCCTACACCAATCTTGATTTCTCGCGATAAAATCGAGACATTTTTCTCGCGGAACGCGGACGGAGGTTGTGATTTATCAAATAATTTCAAATTTATATTATTTGGACTTAGACTTTGTTTTTTTTTTGTTTATTCAAAATGTATTAAAAGTACCGCACTTTAGTTATCGTTATTTAAGTTTAGTATTACAGTCTTACGTATTACAACACCTTTCTTTACGCGGGAAAGTTGCAATAAAATACGTATAATACGGCCAAAAATATAGTGCATTTATTGCTTTGACGTATTTTAACTTAAGCGCAGTCCCTGGTAAAACCCATCCCATTAAACTTGAAATTTATATTTGAGACGTAAAGTTAATTAAGCATTGATGCTGTGGGATACCTTCACGTTTATTACGGAGGTATTTGACTGTGACCCTTCCAGTAAGTTTTTAATGAGCAAAAATTTATTTTCAGTTCCAGTTCGACACTCACGACACAGTAAAAAAAGGATGATGTGAGAACAGTAACAAGTGTGTACTAGAAGTGCAGCCTTCACATGGAAAACGCATAATAATTCTCCCTGCTGTGTCCAAAAATGGTTAGGTGGAAGATGCCTTACTTTTGCCTGCCAAAAACGTCAAAGATTCAAGTGTGGATTACCATGAAAACATTTCAGGACTGGTTTGAAAATACACTGTTGCCAAAACTATCGCCAAATACAGTTATTGTGTTGGATAATGCCTTAGTTCTTATTTATTTTTTTAAATAGAAAGTAATAAATTGTTACTTTGTACTTATTTTTTTATGTACACGTTTCAATAATTGTTCGGCGAAAAAAATTGAAAACATACTTGTATCGCGCTTGTAGGTGCATAAATTCCTAAGACGGTCCTGAAATGGTTACGGGTAAGGGTCTGCTCGGCAGGTGTATTAAACAGTAGGCAAAGTTAATGACGGGGTCGACTGTAAAAACACCATATTTCTGGTCGAAGTATACATACAACTCCATAATAACCTAGATATAATGCACATCCAGGAAAGGAAAAAGTACCGGGGGTGACGCAAATTAAAATTCCGTTAAAATTTTGATTAACCAAAAAAAAGTATGACGTTATTCGTGGAGTCATCGATATTTCTCATTTTCGCTCGATAACGAGTTTTCAAAAACACTCAAAGCTAAAAAAATGAAATTAAAATCATATGCAATCTTACCAATAAGGTATTATTTGTCAACGTCAACTTTCGAGATAGCAATGGATCGATTGTTTTTTAAACATGACGTCGCCCCTGGCAACGCGGCATGGAAACACTTCTTAATTAGATACTTATATACTTTAAAGCCGCTTTTCCTCGACTAAAAACATCAATTTATTCCGGCATTATAACTATAATCCAAATTACAAAATCAAAAGGGGATAACGCGGCCGATGAACCCGACGGCACAGATCAAGGTCGAGAAAATTAGCGGGGCCGCTCGAGTGGAGAAAATGAAATCGATGTTCAGGCAACCGCGAAAATATGCACAGATAACGGAAACCGATTGAAAACAAAAGATCTGAAATATAAAAAGCCGCCTCAGATTTCCTTAGCCTCAACGGCCATTATTAATACAGGACCCAGGTCGATTTGGAGACGTGAGGGGAGAGAACAGCGCGCCGCCACTCGGGGCCGATGTAACATTACCTCTTGTAACGGTCGTTTTGGTCGGTATCACCTATACTGAAAACATCGGTCGCCGCGTTTTTAACATTTTCAGCTTGCATCGCCCGCCCTGTTAAAGATTTTAAAATTACGCGAAGAATGTGCACGGAGCGAACATTATCTACTTGAAAATGCAACGGAAAGTTCATCAAACATTGTTATTTCTATACCTACGCGGTTATAAAAATTAGAGATTACATCAAATCTATTATTAAAAAAAGATAAGATAAAGGAATGCCAATAAATCCACATAATAACCCGGGCGGGTTTTCCATTTTTTTTTTACAGCTAAATAGCACCGCGAACGGAAAAGCTGTTAAAAACAAAAAACCGACGGGAAGCTGCGGCACGATGTTTGCGGGACGGCTGATACGCGCAGAGCCGGCCGGCAATGCGGCCATCTCCAACATTCCGAGGATTTTCTAATTCGACCTCAATCGGACGAAAACGATAGACGTTTCATTAACTTTACCCACCAAAAATTACCCGAAAACGATCAAACAGACCCTCGAACGACACGACAACGTCGGTTAATCGATTTGCTTCCTGACGCTTTTTAAAATGGCCGCACCGGCCCACTTCGATTAAAAGAATTTTTAAAGCTACCATTTACCTTCGCTCCAATCTGGTTACCGCATTGGCCGGCTTGGATGTGTACGATTTCCCTCATTTTTATTTATATAAAATATTACAAAACTATACTAGAAAACACAAACGCTGCTCACAACGATACGTTCACTGCTTGAATGCAATGGCGGCGGGCGTCGTCTCAATTTATAGCTGCCCCCACCCCCGAGTGGCAGCACTGTAAGTTACTAGATTTGGTTTTAACGATTCCGATTCAAATGTAGGGCGTTGTTTGTTGTTTTGATCTTGCAGTATTTAAATTGAATTCATGAATAAGTTATTTTTTACACCTTCCGATCACCGTCGGCCGTGAATGGCTTGCGGAGGCACAAACGTTTTTGCAGTTCCGTGGAAGAACAGAACATGGCACGGATATTAATTGCCAGTCTATGACGGGATGCGGATTATAAAAAAAGAGATTGGAAATTTTCGAAAAATACACTGTAGAATCACGGTTATTAAAATTTTAACTGTTACTGACGAATTGGAGGTACTGAAAAATAGTAAAAATAATAAACCAAAGAAAAGTGTCCATACCATGCTCGCCTATTTTGTTACTCAATTTATAAAGCGCAAATCAATACATAAGATTATCGTCTAATTATGCGATCTCCATTAAAGTCATAAATATAGGTGCCCACATAAGTTATCAATATTTTTTTCGATCTTGCAATTATTTTATATCAAAATCGAATGCAGTAGCCTACGTGTCTACCGCTATACTTTTTTTTACACGTTGTTGACTATAATCGTGGAGGAAGCGAATGATTGCTGTTGATTTTTTATGAACTGCATTTGCGGATAATGGGGCGTATAATTGGTTGCATACCCCGCGATGCATCATAGGTTCTAAAACCTTATACTTACCGTTCAACAAAAATTAATTTGTATTTTTGAGAAATATTATGATTTATTATTATTAATTCGGCTTCACTCGTAAAAGAAAGCTATTATAACTAATTTACTAGGAAGTTTTGCAGGCCTCGTTTGTTTCGACCATAGTTATAATACGATTTTATATAATTAATTAGCCTTTCCGATTTCGATTGACGTCACCGTATACTTTATGGATATCGATAAAACAATAAAATTGGAAAGGCGCTTCCTCCGCAGGAAATTTGCCGAACAATTACGAATTTTCTTTTGGCGCGGCGTCTCGTACCATTCCATGATCGTCGGGCACTGTTGCCAACTCAATAAAACCAACGAACTCGATAAAAATAATTTGTGTCGATAAGTTATAACTAAAAAATACATCTTTAATTTTGGTTAGCTAACTGATATTACTAAACATATTTCTTTACAAAAATGGTCTGGTTTACGGATTTGACTTCAATGTCAGTTGTTGACCACCATTTTGTGTACATTTTAAATGTTTAAATGCAGAAAGTAGTTGTGTTTTATTATAAGATTGTGTAAGTACAGGCTGAGCCAGGGATAGAGACGCACTACACAATTTGTAAATTTTATTCTGAATTAGTTTTAAAGTTGTTCAACTTTTTTGCTAATATAATACATACCTAAACTTAATAATTTTTTCCATAATTTAATTTTCCTAAAAAGATGACGTCATATTTGATTTTAAATTGAAAAATCTTAATTTTCTTAAATGGGAAACCATATATATGATTATTTTTTCTGAAAGATCTCACAAAAACCTAACATTTTTTGTAGGTATGTCATTTTTAATACTTTTTTATTAATTTACCTGTACTTTTTCAATATTTGCCCTTGTTTATGCACAATTAACATGTTTCGGTAACACCTTTATGAAATACAAAATATGACAATATTCCGACACTTTATATATATATATATATATATATATATATATATATATATATATATATATATATATATATATATATATAATATATATATATATATATATATAATATATATATATAATATATATATATATATATATATATATATATATATATATATATATATATATATATATATATATATATATATATATATATATATATATATATATATATATATATATATATATATATATATATATATATATATATATATATATATATATATATATATATATATATATATATATATATATATATATATATATATATATATATATATATATATATATATATATATATATATATATATATATATATATATATATATATATATATATATGGGTATTTGTCCTGGACAGGCCAAATTGACTACGTATTAAAAAAAAATCGCTATGCATAGTTTGCGTGTTTTTCTTTTTTTTCTTTTGTTGATGTATGTTTGCACGTATCTGTTTTTAAAGTTTGTATTTTAGAGTTCTAATGTATTTTTTTTACTTGTTGCTATTATCCGATACTTTTGTTAAAGGTCAATGGAAATAAACACTGTCATATCATATCATATCATGGTTATTGTGCCGACAAAGCTCAACAGCGCTCTGAGAAATTGCTGAGACGGCTTTTGCCTGAACCTGAATTAAAGTGACATTGTATGAGCCGTCGTTCAAAACAAAGTTAAAAATTGTACACGCGTCGTCTCTCCAAGAATCGATTACGTCACAGCCGCGTATATAAACGCACATTATTATTAATTTGCATTGAGAATTTAACTGATGTTGCAGTTACAGGCCTTTTTAGGCTGTCCTGTTTGTATAAGTTAATTATAGAGTATAACTTTGGAGGTTGAGCATTCATGATTAATTGGTATTTTTTCATGTCATTAAAAAACTTAAGAAACTCATTAACGAACATAAAGGGCGTATACAAATAAAACTTTGACGAAAATTTTGATATTTTACATAACCAATCAAAAGGCAACAAAACTAAATTCGTTGGAAGCTATGGAGATTAACAAAATGAAATATTCGGATCGGAATGACCAGATGAATTTAAATGCGTCTCCGTTATTAAATTTAAATTTATAACCCTACACCGGTAGTTAACAGATCTATTACTACCTGTTTCCAGTCCTTCTTTATGTCTTATGTTTTAGTTATTATCTCAGAAAGTATGGTCATATTTCACAATGCCTCTCTGATTCAGGTTGGCTCAAGCTGGAGGACTCATATAAAGTTGAGTTAGTCACATTTGTTTTTTTACTGTACTCCTACTGTTTGATAAACTTTGCAGAGGAAATGATATTCATAATCGAGACACCCGTCATTGTTTAAGATATTGCGTTCCTATACACACTTCGGTAAATTTTCAGAGATCTTTTAGCTATAATGCAGTTAAATTATTTAATGAAATTCCTTACGCTATATCGTCCCTCCCCACAATAAAGTCCTTCAAAAAAGCATTAATATTGTTTATTAGACCCGCCCGTAACTAGCAAAAGCGTATGAGTCTATTTCTTCTGTTTAAGATGTATATACGGATGTGTATTTTGTTGACCATTATGGTGTTGGTGCTGTTGTTGTTGTGGTTACATGGAAGAGCGCAAATTGCGAATGTCGCCACTCTTGTGTTGTTACTTATATTGTAATATTTTGATTATCAATAAAGACAGTTTATTATTGTTATTATTATGTGTGAACCCTGAGGGACACCACAATTTTCCTGGAAGTATAATTGTTAAAAAGCTTATAGTTTCTAATATCTCCACGAAACATCTCCTTATCTTGTACACACTGTATAATACATTATTATGAAGGTTTTATGCGGTAGTCCATCCATTTTCATTGTTTTAATAAAAAAGGCAAATTGTTTCATGTTCTTGATATTCGGAATAACCTATTGGTGGGTTTTAACGTGTTCGATTGAGTGGACTGCATTTTTCGATAACTTTATTTTTAACTTTTACAACCTAACAAACTTTTACAACTAACAAAAAATTGGGAAAAAACATATGAAAGTGAATAACGAAGCTTAACGTTTGCTAGCACGGGTTGTAATATCGAGACCCAGCGTCCCGCGGTCTATCTTAAGTGTCGGCAGCGCCGATGCCTTTTTTGCAGGCAACCTTTTTTTTACGGTGCTCGCGATGTTGCCTGCCGTTGCTGGGCAGTTTTGAAGATTGACCACCTATATTTACCATTATAAATTAACTAGTAAGCAATATTTTATTTTCGGAGACGATATAATGCCAGTGATTACTAAATTACTAAAAAGTTTTTGAAATCGGGATAAAAAGTACTCTCACTTTAAATAAAAATCCACGGAGAGTCCCATTTAAAAAAATCGAAGTAGTTGTTTTTTTTTGTAAAATCAAGACTTCGTATGAATGTATGTCCTAAACGTCTTGATTTTTGAAATACAGGGTGGTAAAGTTTTCAAAAATAAAATATATTTTTTAATATTAATAATAATTGATGTTACGCCTGATTTTTCTGAAAATAAAAATGATAAAAACCTCTTCTGTGCTCGTAAATATGACAGCAATTGATGAATACTCTGAATCCGAATTTCGAAGAGTTTAAATATTTGAGAGAATTTTTCCCTCAGTTATCTGAAGGTAAAGGTAAACAAATAATGATAAATGATAAGTTCACCAAGCTTCTCAGTGCCTGTGAAAAACGTGCCTGGAAGAATTTTTCAAGCAGTGGTTGATGGAACAAGGAGAACATTGTTGAGACTTGACTTTGAACATCAGTACAACGAGATATGACGGGAGATTACATTTTGGGTTTAATCCGACGGAGCCCTCACGAGCATAAACCAAATAAGAAAAATAATCGTTTTTAGACGATTATTTGTTGTTATTTCTCATTTAGTAATTAATGAAATTTTGACTAAAAACAGACTGATATTAAAAAAAAAAACGTTTCTTACCATAACTTAAAGTGAAACCATAAAAAAGCCTAAAATTTAACTTGCTCCAGTTTTTAGAAAAGCAAACTTTAATTCAAAAACAATTTTTTCCTTGTTTTTAGTGGTATACTTCGACCAAAAATACAGTGCTTTGACCGAAGACCTCCGCTGGACCGCGATAAAACCCATCCCAATACATGTTTATTCTGAATTAAGTATTTAATGCATCAGATGGACCGTAACGAATATTTGTAGGAACTTGACATTTTTATTTGAAAAGTAAATTTATCGTTTTAAATTTGATTAAGCATTGATGCAATGTGTTCGTGTATTTTACGGAGGTATTCGACTGTGATCCTTCCAGTAAGTACGTTTTTATGTACCTGATTCTCGAGCTTCGACCCTGCGA